CATGAACTACAGACGCGTCCGTGACCTGATTCAACACTAGTCAATCAAGCCCAGCTCTTCATCTCTCGTGTATGTCAAAATCGTGAGTTAACACACTGACGACGGCGCGCGTTTTAACTTTGCCCAACTGCCAATTCCCATACTGATCCTGAACTTGCAGGTAGCCTGCAGCATCACTTCACGCATGACTTGATAAGGCCAGGGCGCTTGAGCTTGAAGGGATCCTTTCCTGAAAACTCTTGTATTCTTTCCCAACACGCATATATCACTTTGATCACTAGAGGCAACGTACAAATCTCCTAACTTCCTTGTGCATTGCGAGGATGATTGGTGGAAAAGTTGTCAGTTGGTATCAGTTGAAAAAAACCAGGAAAAAACTGATCTTTTCTCAATGACTGGCCTATTAGCGTAACAACGCGACTTTTCCGCTACGTGAGACCGCCAGCCTCTGAATGGCGGACGATTCAGATCGAAACCTCAGCCTTTAAAATAGATGTTCCACCAATTAACCTCGTAAGGCACAAGAAAGTTAGCAGACTCATAACTAACATGCCGAGTTTGCAAAAAGAGAGAAGTTGGAGAACAACATTCAAAGTTTCATGCACAAAGAGTCAGTTTCCGAAGAGAAACAAACTTATCAAAAGCCGCTCACTCTAAGACAGTCAATGAAGTGGCGCGCTTAAAGCAACAATCCAGGAACGAATTCGCGGGTAAGGACCACCTATAATGACGTTGCAGGTGAGAAGTTGGTCAATGGAGAAAGAAAAAGTAGAAAAAAACGTCGGGCAGGGGCTTAGACAGGGACTCCCCCTGCCGTTTAGGGAGACGTGTGTTGGACGAGTTGTCCGAACCTGCCCGTAGTACATGCGCTCCAATTGCAACTGCTGGCAAATAGCCATGCATGCTTGCAAATACATAACTATTTGCCAGCAATCGAAATTGAAGCGCTCAATTGCGTTCTTATGGAATCGACCTCATACAGCGCGGCGGTCCCGCAACGACCGCTAGTCGAGCAAGCGCTCTGCACAGCTGCTTGGAGGCGGCCCCACCACGGATCGGTGGATCCGCCCCTCTCGAAGGATTTCGACTGCTTCCAACGCCTTTCAGAGGTAAGTTTTGAAGTTTGTGACATTTCCCATGAACTCCAATCAGGCTGAGGCATGTTTCCACCACTTGAAAACCAAATGGTTGAAACCCTGCCTGGACTGTTGCTTTAATGATGGCGCCATGGAAACTGGAGGGCTAGCGTATCAGGCACACAATGAAAGAAGAAACAGGTCGAAGCGTGCGATTTATGGCAGAGTAGAAGACAAATCCTATCGATAAAATAAGATGCAGTGTAGGTGGGACGATGTTAACAAGTCAAAACGGCCGGAAAGAGTTTCTAGTGACAGCACACCGTGAACCAAGTGGAAGCGTTCGGGTCGCCAGCATCTGTGACAGATGTCCGGGAGTGCTTTAAACGTGTAGCCCGCCCTGACGCTTTCTTGAATTTTTTTTACAAAACAAATGCAATTTTTTTCGTTCGTGTCGTGAACGGTGGTTCCCAAGGCAGGATTTAGAATTGAAAAAAAGAAATATCATGAGAAGCGAATTCTTTAAGATACGGTAGGTCAATTACGCTGTTCAGCCCGAGCCATCACTGATCCAAATTTCATGCCTTTGAACCATCCATGCGAAGGGCGGAAGGTCGTAAGAGACTTGAAGCGTACCTCAACTGCGAATCCCGCATTACAGCCTATGCTGATATAGAGAACTATCGAAAACGCTGTCATTCATTCCACTCAAATTATAAAAGCAAGACGGGGACAAACAAAACGGAGAAGCAGGAAAAATAATTAAACTAACGTAAACAATTTTTCGTTACCGAGTGTTGGTCATAACGACTGATAATAGAGCCGACAGTAGCTGAAAATACGTCCAGTCATGTCTTTCTCCCACCCCAGGTCTACAGAACCATTTTTATACTGGTCCTCGACATTGGTCGGCTTTATTCTTCAATGGCAAGTCTTTTAGCACATTGGCGCTAGCCTTTCTCTAAGTGTGGATACCGAAGCTTCCGCCTAATTCTTCAGGTTCAGGTTCTTTACCGATTAGTAAGTCCCATGGAGCAATATGGGCCGCGAAAACGCAGTGTGCGAGCAAATAATCAAAACCAAAAATTTATTATTAGGTCGGTCCATAAGTCTTGCAACAAACTGGCCGAATTTTGAATTTAATATTTTCATTATCTTTTTGTTCCATTCATCCGGCATGCTACCCTCCATCAATATCTACAACCTATTGCCAACACACTAGTAGCTGCTCGATGCCTCCCTTGTAGGACTCTACTGAATTCTGATCGAAGAAAGATCAGATGTCGATTTTGACATCATCATAGTTAGGATGAGCTTTCTTCTCTAGGAGATGGTTTGGAGAGGGGAGCAGAAGGGCATTATTTGGCACGAGGTCAGGGCTATAACGTGGATACAGAAGAACTCCCCGTCCTAGAGTCTCAAAATTTTTCTGAATTTTCTTAGCAAGAGGTGGTTCAACGGTGTGTCATACAAAGCAAACTTTGCCTTGTTTTTCTTTATTAAAAGCGTTGCAATTCGAGCTGTGGATAGTTGACTTTCGCGTTGACTGCGACATCTACACGTAGGGGTTTCCAGAGCTTAACTCCTCTCGTGTTCCACCAAAAATCCGAGAAGGCCCTACTTGGACGAGGTTGAACTTAAGCAATAAGATCTCCCGAAGCGTTTGAGCTGGACTACCGCCGCTTGTTCATTTGTTAGTAAACTGTACCCACTCCTCATCTTCGGCAAATGTGATGGATGGTCAATCGTAGAATCCCTAGTAAGTCGACTTGAACATAACGGTGTCAGATCGTGTTTGGAGCTGAATCGGGCTCAAGGCACGTGGGGACCAAACTCTACATTTTCGGATCTTCACAAGTCTTTGGAGATGCCACAGTGCTGTCTCCTTGTCGCATCGGAATCGCTCTAGCAAATGATCGATACTCTATCCAGATCCCTTTTCAACGGCGTCAGATAGAGCATCGTGATTGTCAGTCACAGGGTGGTTGGAGTGTGGGTTATTTTCAAATAAAAAAGTCAACGCTGAGCAGAGTGAAGCGCCGTTGCACTGTGGTTTGAGAGAGCTTGCCCTCGCCTATCTTCTGGCCAATCCTTGGTCTAGCATGACTTGCGGAACATTCCAAGCAGTACTCGTAAAAATTAAGGGCATCGAGAGCCCTCTCGCGAAATCGGTGTAATATCCATAATAAGTAAGCAGACAACGAGCTGGACCGTTGGCTGAAATTGCAAAGGTTGATGCTACGTCAGGAAATATGTTGCGGATTTTCAGGAGTTCTCCCTAAAATTCTATAGCATTAAATGTAGTTTGTTGCAAGACTTATGGACCGACCTAATAGAAACGAATGAAATCGCGATAACGGCCACGAAACACAACCCGACGATAACGTCGCACAACAACATTATGTGAAGAATTACGTGAGATCTAAAAACCACGGCAGGGTAAGCGGGTAGCGAGTGCTGCTGGAGGTAGTGAAGCAGTAGTCCTTCCCTGAGCAGCTTTCTCGTCGTCGGCTTTCGCATTCCTACGGGTAGCTTCGGCCGAACTACAATCTGCGAAAGACTACCAATGTGACTTTTAGATGCTTTATCAATTACACAGTGAACTTGATTCAATTTCGATAGGGTATGGTCCGTTTCCCTGTACACGAACGCACTGACATTGGTAGACATAAGACTGGAAAAGTTGCACTGAGTCATGCAAAACTCATTACTGTACTTACCCATAAGATTTTATTACATACCGATGTTCTTTTGTCGATTTTCCTGTGAAAGCATAACCGTATCTGCAGCACCGTTCAACGCGCAGTGCTCATTACCATTTTCTACTGAATGTTCGGCTACATCTTGAACTTGGACAGGCAAGTGCTAGGCCATCCTGTTCTCAGTACCATTCTCACAGCATGCCTGCGATCACACAATATTCCCGTCCTACTGTCGAAACAAGTTCATCCCAATGTTTACGGACACACACCACACATTGCGCACTGAACGTTCCCCTTTACTGTGTTGCAGTCACACTGTCCTTGGGATTCAACAATGTCTTTCCGGCCTTTTCCTTGCACTTTCCATTTTTGGGTCAAAATCCTTCTATTCTTCCTCATTTTTCCGTCATAAAGAGAACAAGCAGAACGGTGGATCACCGCCTGCTGCGTCCCGAATGACGCTGTCGCCAGCCTCCTTCGATATTGAAAAGGTACGTGACAGAAATATGTCAAAGCAGACGATAACACTACCTTGACATTGTTCGACTCGGCTAAATCTTCTATCGCTCTAGTTAACAATTCTGTTGAACAAACCAGACGGGAGCTCGCATTCCTGTGCAGAATTTCGTACTCTAAACGTAAGTGCCAGCGTTCGCTGAGTTGTACTGTCCATATTGGCACCATGATTATTGAGTGACGCCCAACTTGTGGTACTACCTGAAAACAGGCAGCGGTGGCTGAGAAAATAAGTTTTTACAAATATCTTGCTCGCCTACGTAACTTGCTCTCAAACAGTTAGTCATTTCCCGTTGCCCTTCGACGTCAAGGAGTGCCAGGACTTCTCTAAACACCGTTTGAAAATCCTCTAGTTTACCGATGCGCAATACATTTTCGAGCAAATTGTTGACGCGATTGCGAAAGCGAACGTCGCGAAGACAAATGTATTTAGCCATGCAACTTCTGACTTCTACAAGTTAGAAGACCCTTTTGCCAGGTTCTACTTATATGCCAATGGCCATAACGTGATGTGGCCTCAGACGTGGAAAAAACAGCCAATAAAGCAAGGTGCCTAATCAGTCACGAAGTGACGAGGACCAAAGCTCGGCATTACATTCTTTATCTCCGCAAACAACTTTGCAACGTCCTAACTAGTCATGACGCCACTAAGGAGAAATGCTGGAATTTTCGATGTCATGTGTTGAAAATCTTAAATCAACAGGTTTCAATAGCAGCCACCGGCCGGGAGTCCTCTATCGCGTTCGTCTGCTACTAATAACGATGTCAATTTCAGACTGTACCGCGTTGCTCCATGACTATCATCAATTGAGACGCTACGGCTGCAAAATTGTTTGAGCCAATCCACCTGAGTCGGCGTGATAATCACTGAAAATTCGAAGACGATCTCCTTTCAGATTGAATGCTCAATCACAGAGCATATGATCTAAGCTAGATCAAACCTCTTCCGCTTAGGTCCTAAGGCATCTCAAAAAGCCGTGTCCCATTACAGCTCTTATTTTCGACAACCCCCAGCTGCAGTGAATTCAGCTCGTTCCAATCACGAAATCTGGGATTTGTACCGTAACGTTCAATGAAGATCCGAAGATCGCTCGATTGACGAAGTAGAGTCTTGAAGGGTTTTGCAGGAAACTCCTTTCTGACATGCCGGGTTACGTGGCCCAGTGAGTGATCTAAACTTGAAAATATAGTATTCATTGCGAATGCAGGGGTGCACATGGGACATCGATTCACCTTCGATATTCAAAAACTTCAAATATTTTGCGCTTCCGTTGAACGAAGGAATGCAGGCTCGGCTTCGCGTCCTATGTGCCCAAAGCATCCTTTCATATGAACAGCGCCGTCAGCATACACAGTATAATTCATATGACAAGAGCAGTGGAAGACGTCACTCTTAGTGACCGAAGGTCGCACGGCTTCGACTTATGAAGTTACATCTGTAAAGGAAGAAATGTTTGTATTAATTCCGGAATAAATATAATACTTTCCTCATGAGTGCCTCAAACTGAATGTTTTTCCGCTAAAGCTCTTTTGATATAATGTGGTTACGGTCTCCTTGCATTGCTCTTGCAGCCACACCCCAGACGCTGCCAAGACAAACAGACTATTACCCCTTTCGTACCACGAACCTGCCCTTTGTCGAAAAGGCCAAAGGATAAACGGGTGAATACCTGCTCCGCACCACTTGTGCCTTCATCGCAGTGCTCTTTGGCGCAATGATTTGGTTTTCCCGTGATCGACGAACTTTTCCTATCATAATGGACATATAACATTCAATATTTCAGTACGCTGCTAAACCTTTTCTTTCCGCTCTTCTTTCAAGCGATTGAATTCGTCTTGCAAATAATCATGGACGGTTTTAAGTGTGTACTTCCCTTCGGAGCACGCAGATGTTGCAGATGCTACAGCACTCTTCTCATTTTTTTTCAGCGGCATCCCCTGCAATAAGAAGAAGCTAGCACCCACTCGAAAAGGAGCTGGAATCCTCTCAAAATTTGCCCACGACATAGAATTGGCTGCGTTAGCGTGACGACGATAGCACAAATATGACACCCGTATGATGTAAAGCTGGCACTTTTGGTGAGGACTATCAAGTGTGCTTGCATCGAACAGAAAGATATCCGCGCCAATGTGCCGAAATACCACTAGATGCACTCTCCCTTTCAATAAACAAGAAAGACGTCGTTGCAGCCCATACCACAACTGACGACGGCCGCGAGAAAGACAGACCAAAATTGTGACCACAAGCTTCAAAACGGTACGAGTTCGCTTGACAGTAGTAAGGGCACATGAACGATACTGCTGAGGACAAGGTCACATAAAAAACAAAAGTGAGGGAAAACTCGACATAATACTTGAAATTTTCAAAGCTCACCACGACAGCATTCCATGGTAGCACTGAAATCATTGATAACGCCTGAAAATATGTTTACGGTTGTTACAAATAACTCACCTGACTAAAATGATGAAGAGCGAAGTAGATGAGACGGATAGCTAGTAGAATACCACTGCATCAATTAATTTCCCTGTCGGTTGTCAACTGCCACTTTTTCGCGGTCGTCGTCAATTGTAGTGTATGGTCTGCACCGACGTCTTTCCTGTCCATTGAAGGAGAGGGTACGCTTTGAGCAAAACTGGTGGTTCAAGTTTGGCGCCAACAACTGTGATGCGGGCAAAAAAAGCATGTGGCCTTCGTGTTCTACGAGTGATACAGACACCATGGGTAAATCACAAGCCAAATCCAAGCTCTTCAAGAAAGATTGAAGAAATCCGGCACAGTTTCCAGAAGGTGACACATAAAAAAGTAAAAGGCACCCAAATAGCAACTATTCAAATAAATACAGATGAACCGAAGCAAATCAATCCAAACTATGTGAATCGGACCTGTCCAGAAGGGACGACTGGTGCCTCCTAATTGGAGTGCAGGCCATTATACGTCCTACATTACGACATGCGAATTTGAACGAGCGAACAAGATTATAAGTTAAGGAACATAGGATGTATACCGTAACCCACGTTTGCGTCAGAGCGCGGTTGCAGGCTTTCCAGTGCACAATGCCAGCACTAGTGTGAGAGCGGTCAACGACGCCGCCCCTGCTGTTCGGGGCAGCGAACCCAAAAATGGAGCGACGTCGCAGCGTTCGCCTCGCCGCTTGCGCGACGAAGCCGAACACCGTCGCAGCGTTGGCCTCGCCGCTTGCGCGACGAAGCCGAACACCGTCGCAGCGTCCGGCTCGCCGCCCGCGCGATGGGGCCGAACACCCGCGACGAAGCCGAACGCCGTTGCGGCGTCCGGTGCGCCGCTTGCGCGACGAAGCCAAGCACCGTCGCAGCATTCGCCTCGCCGCTTGCGCGGCGAGGCTGAACGCTGCGCGCGCTCCGCGCGCGAGCACAGGGAGGTGATCCCCGGGGTGCCGCCCCATCCGACGTGTGGCGACAACCGCTCGCGTTGTGTCCTCCACCTTCTACATAAACGGCGCATAGTACTCTGCGCGGGCCTGCTCGACGCATTCTCTCTTCGTTGAGAGGGTGCAGAGAAGACGAGAAAATCGATGACACGTGAGAATGCGCGCCCCAGTGCAACGTCGAGAAGGTTACGGTATACACCCTATGTTCCTGAACTTATAATCTTGTGAAAGAGCGACGATGAGAAAAGATATGCAGGGAATTCAAAGTCTCGATGAGGGTGGTCAATGATCAGATGGTAGTCCGAAGGAGTCGAATGTGGCGCGAAATGGGAGCTGATTTGAGCTGCAATGGAGGAGGTCGCAGGTCCGCGATAATGAGTGTTGGAAAGGTTTGGGACCCCAGCATTCAGCATCGCGAAATTTCGTCGCAGGACCCACCGGCCACTAGCCAATTCTCCAGAGCCGTGGTACTGTTTTTGTCCTTTCACTGTTTTAGATTAGAATTCGTTCACGTACATTGCAATGCTGTTAACATCTCAACATGGCATCACGTAGTAGGAGACCTAAACCGAATCGCAACCTCAGCTAGCGAATGGATGGACTGGCTTGATTACGGCAATACAGCGAGCGGTACACGAAAGTCGAATATATAAAACAAGCAATTCATATTCTAACGCAATTGCAACAATGTAGTAGTATAACGTGGGACCAATCTACAGCCTAAAACATTGAAAAGGTAAAAACAAAACAGCAAAATCAAAAGGCCGGCAATTTGCTGTTGGCTTCTGCAACGAAACCCTGATAGATCCCCAAACATTTCCAAAAATTTAGCATCTAACACGGGGACCCCATCCCCTCACTACATTTAGCACATAGCCAAGGAATAGTAGGGATGTATCGACCGAAACCGCTGGAGCGTAGTAGATTATCGTATAATTAACACACTAGATAGCAGTAGAGTAAGACCGACGTCATGAGTCGCGACGGAACAAGCCGATGTCCGTCGTTGGCCATCGTTACTTGCGATCGCGATCGCTCCATCGCTTGTCCGTCGCTTGCCAATCGCTCTTGGTCGAGCGATTGGCAAGCGATTGCGCAATCGCTTGCAAAGTGCACAAGCGACGGGCAATGGCTCTGCTCGATCGATACCGCAGCCGACTGCATTGACTGGGGGCGGGGCCAATCGCCCGTCGCTTGTGCACATTGCGCAATCGCTTGCCAATCGCTCGACCGAGAGCGATTGGCAAGCGACGGACAAGCGATGGAGCGATCGCGATCGCTCCATCGCTTGGTCCGTCGCCGACTATGACGTCGGTCTAAGAGATTAGGATAGTTGTAGATTAGAAATGTATTGACAGGAAGATTAGGATAGTAGTGGAATTAGAATACTAGAAGAGTAAGACAGAGCGCTGACATGAATAGATAGGTGTTAATCGATTTGCACTAAGTCCCCTAATCTATAAATAAGGTCGGTCCATAATTTTTGAGACACTTTACATATATTGTTGTAAAAATCTTCTGATAAGTATTGAAGTTTTGAAGATGTCCTGCAACCTAGCACACAAGCTCGCCTACAGGCTAGCCATCTCGTTTGCTTGTTACTTTCTTTAGCTAGGATTCCAATTTCTTTGAAACCTACTTCTGAGCCTCTTCTTCATGACTTCAGATTAGGATCTTCCACGCGCCAAGCTATATGGAGGATTAACCAGAAGATAGTGAGGGCACGCTCTCTCAATCCACGGTGCTCGGTGGTTACCTCTACTCAGGGTTCCCTCCTTTTATTTGAAGATGATCCACACTCCAACCACCCCGTGACTGGCAATCTCGATGCTCTATCCGACGCCATTGAAAAGGCATCTCGAGAAAGTAAGCGCTCTTTGTCAGAGCGCTCTTGATGCGACAAGGTGGAAGTATCGACCCACCCCGAAGTCCCCTATTCCTATAAGGCTTAGTCTTAGAGCTCTCACCTTCCTAATTGGGATTTGGAGCCGAGCCAGGCGCCGTTCTCTAAAAATGTCTGTGTCCTCCGCCATTCGTGGAAGGACCACAGAAGAAAGCTCAAGTAACCCGTGAACTCTCCCTTTCTTGTCCCATAGAATCCGTGCTTAAATGACACCGACTGGCAAGTTGCCGGATAGACCGCTCGCATACGCGCCGCGCGTTTGATATTTATAGGAGCGACCGGGATAACACTAACGACTGGCCAAAATTTTCAAAATTGGTTCAAACTGTGAGCTTCCTAGGAGTTAGTCGTCACCTTTCGAGACGTAGAAACACCCCAACACTTGTAAAATAGCTGGTCACAAACATGACAGAAATAGTTGATGCTTGAGGGGAACTCCTCTGAACATTTGACAGCGTGTGCGAATTTCTACTCTAAATAGTTTTTTGTACTGAAAACAAGCATAATCATGGAGTGCAAATGCTTCGCGCCCAGCAAGATCAGATGTACAGATGTATAGCCTCTGTGTAGCAAGCTCCGTAACTCAATTCAGAGAATTCGGAGACGGATTTGAGATCAGCGTCCGAGAGCGCGTCTGTGTGTGTAGGTTTCACTGCAATGGCCACTTCCATCTGGTATCTCTTACTTGCTGATTCGGAAGGAATGGTGTTTTCAGTCTTGCGCGCAGCCGACCGAACTTCTTTTGAGATCTGCTGTATCCGAAGGATGCATCGCCCGATTTGCATCCGAACCTTAGCTGAGGTACATATAATAGTCTTCCTCATTAAAATTGGCCTGTTACTTGAAATCCAACTCGCCGTGAACGTTGTAAAAAGTGTTTTCAACGCAATTCAATGGAAAGCGTGAAAAATTGGCTTCGGTTTAAACAGCATTTAGACAAATGAGGCAAATGGATTGTGCTCAGCAAAATTGGTGTACAAGATAATTAAGACAATAAACAACGAGCCCTCT